TCAATTTTATGCTGTCAATAGCGCCATTCCTCTTCAATCGTTTCCTGGATGTAGGAAACGGCTGTAAACCTCAATATCGATAGTAGCTTTGTTTGCGTGCCATCAGTATTGTTGGTGTTTTTGTTTTTGTGACAAGCTTTCAATTTTTGGTTGAAAAAAAAGTGTGGGCATCACAAAAAATGGACCGCACAAAACGGACTGTGAAAAAGATTTCCGTGTAAGCGCTTGCGAAGAGAGCCGCGTGGCAGCGGATTTAAAATTAAAGATTTACCCGTACACTGGTCTGCATGTTGTGTGTATTGTGTGTGTATGAAATATTTTTCGGTTGGGCGTGTTTGTTGTTACGCCTTACTGCTTACCTGTTTGTTTTGGCCGCGGCGAGTTCTTTTAATTTATTGATTCCCCCCAACAACAGCAACAAGGGCGAGGTGCTGAGCTGTGGAAAAAGGGAAAAATAAAGGAAATAATAACAAGAAGTGGGTGTAATAAAATAAAATACAAGAAATGAACGGCGAAAAACATGTGCGACGACGACAGCGACAGGATGCGAATCGCTGAGTTTGGAGCCAAGGAACTGCGACGATTGAGGGTAGAGCCGTGGGGGGAGTTGGTTGAACGCTGCTGTCGTCGCTCTCGGTGGCCGGTTTAAGGCATTTGTCAACATAACGCTTGCAATTTAACAATTCCGTCCGTTGCTCGCTGCTTTCTCTTTCGTTTGTTTGCTTTTTATAGTTATTGATTTTATTTACTATTTGCTCGTGCAGAGAGCTCGAGCTCGAGCTCGATGGCCGAAATGATGATGAAGGTGGGCGATTGGGCAACTGGGCGGACGTACATGCTGTGAATGGATCGGGTCGGATTGGGTCGGTTCTCGAATGGCTTGGAGACATCACACTTGGCTTGTTTGCTTTCTTGACTTTTATTCCCATGCATTGCGTAAGCGAGAAGAATCCATATCCGTATCGCTCTTTACAGCGCTTGAGGTCGTGCCGAGCTCAACTTAAACGCGTAAAGCATAAACTACAAATTGTTTTTTTATATTTTTTTTTTTGGCATCGTTGTTGCTGCTCCTCCTGGTGCTGGGTGCTGGTGCTGCTGTGTTGTTACTGTTATTATTATTGCGGCCACTGCTGTGCGGAATTGGCTCTATTTTTATTGACATCCGGACAGGTGGACCAGCAGGTGTTTGTATGCACGTATTCGTCCACTTTGTATACTTACTCTTCTTGTTGTTTCTTCTTATTTGTTATTTGTGGCTGTTGTTGTTGCTTTTGTTCTTGTCCTGCTCACAGTGGCCCAGCTCTATGTGCCTCTGTGTGTGTGTTTTTATGTGTGTGTGTGTGTGTTTGCTCACGTAATTCCCTAATTAAATACTTAAATTGTAATTGCTTTCGAACGTTTCATGACAGCAACAAACGACGAGCGCTCGAACTACGCATTCACATCTCGAGCTCCATCTCCGCCATTTTGTGGCTTAGCATCATTAAGGCAGGCAGGTATCAGATGCACACACACACACACACACAGACACACATACTGTTATATATATGTACAGAGAAAAACGTTTGTGTAGACAAGCTGGTACGGCATATGCTTCAACTTACGAATCAATACTCTTGAATGGAATAAATACAGAGCATGCTTTCCATTTGCCCTCCACGTATACGCATACGTACTCGTACTCCCTCATATTGTTGCCAATATTGGCAGTGCCGCCTGCCACAAATTACAGCTGGCTTTTTTAAGCTGCGAAGCTTTATGAAACACAATTTCAGCCTCAGTGTCGATCGGGGGCATTACTAACTTATTATTATCAATTTAAATGGAAACAAATAGGTGGATAAAATGTATGTACTTATAATACGTGGCCGGTATTGATGTAACTTTTTATAACAAATCGATAAGGAAGCGCTGTGTGGCCAAGTAATTGAACGGAAAAATAATCAATATGGATAACATCCTTAGTCTGACGACAATAAATCTCTAGCCTATGCTAATTTTCAAAAATTGTTTTCTCAGTAGCTCTCTCATTACGCTATTTATCGCTTTAATGATCAACAATCTATATTGTTCTAGCTCAATATTAATAAGCTTGTAGCATAGGATATATCAGGAAACTATGTATTTTCATAGAGAACTATGTAGGGAGACCCGCAACCAAGTATGCTTTTATAGTTGTATGCTATTGGGTCCCAACCAGCTCAAACTATTTCCTACCCGAAAACGAAACCTTGGAAAACTATGACAGAGTAAGAACCCCCACAAGAGAAGAATGGCTACAAGCTTGAAGGGAGAATCGGAAGAGGAATGGAAATACTTCCAACCATTGTTGGTGGCCGGTTGATATAAATACTTGCGGACATCCAAGTGGCGTTTAAGGCACTTGATTTAAACTTCAACAGTTCCAGGTATATGACTGACTACCATAGATCTATCAAAGTCTTGAAGAAAACTCCAGTACAGTACGCATTGACAAGATAACTAGTGATGAAGGAAGGAATCTCCTTCCGGCAAGGAATCAGCGATGCTGGAAAAGCACAAATTTGTGCCCTCGAGGAAGGTTGACTTGGCCAAGTCTCGAGTGCCACGGAACTCCATAAACTGAAAGGGATTGATCTTTTCACAATAGCCTCTCTGTCAAGGGCATTCCAATGAGCCTCTTTAGGCCTAAGTGTGTGGATGAAAGAAACTATTACTTTAGCTATTTTAATCTAATCTCCTTAGGTTAGATCTTATACTAAAAGAAGACTCCTTTACTGTAAATGCATACAAATTAATAAAAATATTGTGTCTGGCTTCCATTGGCCTTTGTTCTATAGCAAAGCAATAAGTCGACTTTTCATTTAAAAAAAGTTATTCAAGAACAGTCCATGCCAAAAATATAATTATTTACTAGCAATTGGCTACTGCTATTAATGAAAAAATAAAGTAAAACAGCTCATATTATTGGATTATATTTTTGTTTAAAATAATTTGTTCTTATTATCAGTAGAATGTTAGAGATTTGAAGAAAATTACAAAACAGAATTGGCCAGCCAGATAGTGAAAAGGCAAGCAGCATGTCGCCAGCATGTCGTACCTATTTGGATTCGCATTAAGCCATATAAGTCATCACTTAAATTTAATTGTGCGCGACTATGCCGGCGTTGGATGGCGAAGTTCTTGGGCAGGCACGCAGGCAGACAGGCAGGCAGGCAGGCAGACAGGCAGACAACGTTTGGTCTTAGTCCTTGACTGCCTATAAATCGAAGCTGCCTTTGTGCCACACATGGTGGTCAGCCACGTTTTATGTGCTTTTAAGTGTGCAATTAAAGGTCAATTGCAGGTGAGGCCGCTGCCGCTGCCGCTTCCGCTATCCACGAGTGCGCTATAAAATGTGAGTAGTCTTGTAACAGCCCTAAGCGATGTTTGAAAAGCATCTCAAGCAGGAGCGCACAGTTGTTCATTTGATGACTAAACATAATAAACAAAGGCTCGGCAAACACCCGTTTTCAAGTTGCTCACAGGTGAAAGGTTAATTTCGCTGGACAACTAAAGTCAAAATTTAAGGAATTTTCAATTCACTAAGCTGTTGTAGAATCGACCCTCTTCGTAGACCACTTCCTTTAGTGTTTTAAGAAGCCACTTAAATCCTAAATTGAAACTAAAATACTTGTAGTCTGCAACTTCTTTTTGAATTTTCAAAGTATTGCGGACATTATATTTATTTAACGATTCGTTTTATTTAAATAACATGCTTTGGCAACTCTTTGGTTAATTTAATTAACAATTTCACAAGCATAGTGGTCTGCAGAGTATTTTATTTGTTCACTTTTCTGACGTCAAAGAAAAATATTCATAAATTCCCACTTTTCTTTATATGAGAACTTATTTATTATCGAAATGAACTGGAGCTTAGCACTGCCAATTTAAAAATATGGAAGCATAAAAATATTGTAATAATAAATATTCATTATATAAAAATATATAATTATAAATATAAATATATTATATAAAAAAGAAAAGGAAGAAACAATGAAAAATGAAAGTTGCAAAATTACAAAAATTCGTCAAAAAGCGTAGAGATTTTTAAGTGCTACTATGAAAATATTTAAAATTATATTACAATATTTAATTCTGACCTTAAAAAGTTCAGTATAATTAATCTAATCGAATTGACGAGTTGTGCAAAGCATAGTTAAATAGCGATTTAACCCTAATGGTGTAAAATATCTTGTAGGTCTTTGAGGGACAGTAAAGAGTCTATTTGATTAATAAGCACTGAAGACTCGATGATTAATTTATGTATAAAACCAACATCTAATACAATCATACGATTAGCAAGTAATGGAAGATCTAACAGTGGGCCTTCAAATTCTTTGCCCTTTGTTTTATTAAGGATAGTGGAGATGTGTTCTTTAAAACAAAGTTTAGGCATTATTCATAAAATAATCTTCGCATATTCGGATAATATGTAATTGCAAGACACCTATGAGGGGTATATATAATCCTAACCTCATAGTTATTTAATGTGTTTAAGTTTATTTGAATTATAGAGATTTACAGAGCAGGATCGGTGGTATCATTCAATTAAAGATTCACTGCATCATTGCGATGCGCAGAGTGTGTCTGCAGCCCTCTTCACCCATTCCTGAGCATTACACCCTCAAGTGAGTTTGTACCTCCTGGTGCAGCGAATGAGATCAGTTGCATACTCTATGGTGTCCATCTTAATATCTCCTTGCAGTGTGTTATCCATGTCTGATAGCTGATAGTCGATGTAATAATAATTATGCTTATTTTACAGGCATAGAACCACTTATCTTGGGGCTTTTCTGCGGCTTCGATTATGCAATTGACTTACCATAGTAGGTAAAAGGGAAGAGTGAGTTTGCCGTGAGATTTGCGTCACTCCCCTATCTATAAAGGGGGCAGCTCCTTTAGGGGAGCTGCTGATTATTAAAACAAACTCGCAAACAAACAACATACAAAATTTTTCCCACATTCGCATCTTTTTTCTTTGGATTTTTCACACAAAATTTGAAGAAACCTGTTGAAAATTTGCTATTTGGCAGTCACTTTATTTGTACCCCTCGATGGCTGGCAATATGGAAGGCGTTTTGAATCCATTGCTGCCGGTCGACACAGAGAGGTTTGGCATTCTGCTGGAATTCAAGGCTGGTCGCATGAATATAGCTGGAAAAATGGTGGAGCCAGACACACGCAAGGGTTCAGTCTTTATTCGGCGTACCGATGACAATAACATCCATTTCTGCTGGAGGGACCGCATATCGGGTATGGTTGAACTGGACCTTCTCGTCTCCCCGCGTATGTTAGAGTTTCGACGGGTCGAGCAGTGCAAGACTGGACGCGTCTATGTCCTAAAGTTTATTCAATCCACTCGTCGCTTGTTCTTCTGGATGCAGGAGCCCACCCATGATCTAGACGATGCCTACTGTGCGCGTATCAATGAGCTGCTGGCTCTCGCCGAGTCCAATGTGGAGATGCCCAGTAGCGATGCAGTTTGCACCGCTCACGAGCATTTGAGGGGCGGCAGCGAGGGTGTTCCTGGGGTCCAGCAGATACGCAGCTTCATGCACAGCTTCTCGCATGAGCAGATGGCACAGCTGTGGAGCTCACAGCCGATGACGTCAAGCGCCACCTCGCTGGCCATGCCAGATCCTGCGGCCATGACATTCATAGACCACAGCGAGCCCTGGATGACCGACGTGGAGTCGCAGGGCCAATACCAACAGCAGCCGGTGCGACATGGTGTTGATTTTTGTGGTGCGTTTCGGGCACTGAGCGCTCCCGCTGTGGCATCGGTGCTAACCATACCCTCTGCCAGACATGCCCTGGCAAAGAAACTGCCGGTGAGTCAGTCGGCCAATGCCCAAGAGCTTGCCGCTGAGATTGAGGAGCACGCCCGCTCGCCACAGTTCTATGAAGCACTCGGCCAGTTCTCGTGGGCCTTCCAGGCAGGTCTTATGGGCCCAGTGATGGAACAATTCGGTCTGAGTCCGACAGCTGTGCAGGCCGCCTACGATGGTGATCTGGAACAGTTCCTGCTATCTTTCGGTGACGATGATGTTGATACTGTGGGTGAGGTTGAAATCGGTACAGAGATGATGCAATAGAATTGATGCCATTGAGATGTTGGAGATGATGGAGATGATGGAGATGATGGGGCATGGAAATCAAACTGACAGATAAATATTGACAAGCAGCAGTGAAAGCTCTTAAGATTTTGCACTTGCACGACGAACTGGCAGTGGCAGTGGGAGTTGCCCAAAACTATGCTATTAAAATAAAATAAAGGAAAAAAAAGCGTTTTGTAAAAAAAAAAAACAGCAAACCTGGTTGGGGAAACGATGGAGGAGGAGGAGATGGGGGCGTGCGCCAACAAATGCAATAACTGCGCAAAGTTACGAAGATAAATGAGATGCCATAAGTTAGACGACAACTTGCACGGCTACAGCGACAACGACAAAGACAACGGCAAGGAGGACAACTAAAAGAACAAGAACAAGAACAGGAACAGGAGCGAGAACGAGAACGAGAACGAGTACGACAACCACGACGAAGAGGAACAGACAAGAGCAACTGTGGCAACTGGCACTAAAATTGATATAAAGGCAAAAAAAATTGGAAAAATAGTTGTAAACTGCAGAGCAGCAAAGTAAGCGAAGGCCAGAAGTATGCGCTGTTGCATTGGCAAACGGGTTGGGCGGGTGCCGAAGGGTGAGACGATGACGGATGGTTTAAGGGGTCGAAGGGAAGGGCGGGGGGGGGGGGGGGGGGGGGGTGTAGCATGCAATAGCAGTTTTCGCATCATTTGCGAAAGTATTGGCGCTTTGTCTTGCCCTCCCCCTTGCTTTTATACACTCTTCGGCAGGGAATTTTGGAAGCGAAAGAGTACTCCCGACACTATTTCGTACTATTGCTCTTTTCCAGTGCGATGAGATAGTGTCATGAAGTGCTCAGTGAGTTTAAATTCTGTTCGTATTGTATTGGAGCCGATAGGGATATATCGATATGGTACAAGTATATGGTTGGCATTAATGCTTATTAACTGCTCATCAGATATTCCGAAAAGCTATATCTATTAAATAAATAACACCAAATTAAACATTAACTAACTAATACCATGAAATATCAGCTAATAAAAAATATAAAGTTCAAAGTTTTTGCAAACCTTTTTAATTCACAAACTGACTCAAATTTGTTGGTTTTGCAAATATAGAATATTGTATTATCATTATTTTCCTCTCACTTTACACAATTCTCTTTATTGTAGTGTTGAATAAACTTCAAATCATAACTCATTAATAATAATGTTTTTTCTTCTCTTTTCAGGTGAGTTTATAAATAATAAGACAATTATGGCATAAATTGTGTAAGTAGTATTCTTGAGATTTAATGATTAACTTTAGTTATTTACCTTACCAGTGTTTAAGATTCTTTCTGTAGATAAATAAGTAATGAAAAGTCAGATGACTAAGCAATCAGGCAGGTATACTCATATGTATAGAATGCAATACATTATTTTTGAATTAATAACAGTGGTATAATAATAATCCTTTCCCTCGACAGTTCTTTAGCTTTCGTCCTTCGTCTTACAGACTAAACACTTCATCTTCATCATCAAAACTTTTAAGTCTTTGCCATCTGCACCTTTGTTTGTTGTCTGGCTAGAATTGAGACTACAAATTAAGCAGTTTTGCATTATCTTTTCTAAAAATACACCTTAAATACAGTCAATAGAAACGCATCGTGCTTAACCATGCTTAGAAACCGCTAGAGTGTTAATTAGGAATGTTTTTCTGTTCTCTACTTAAATTAAATTTGGATGGGTTATAGTCATCAAAAAGAAAACTTTTACATAAAAAAATGTACATGTTATCCAAAGTAGTTCATAAACATTTAAGCACGATGTAAACAATGGAGTTGGCGGTCCTGCCTCGCTAGTTCGTGGGTTAGTTCCGCAGTTGAAGCATCGAGAAAAAGCCGAGCTACAGGTAATTCTTTAACGGATTTAAACATTACATTTGTTGCAATAAACACATTAAATAAACAATTTACAAACATAGTATTCGCAAGGCTGTTTTCGTAAACGTATCGAAAACTAAACATTCTCTAAAACACGTTCAAGGTTAGTCCAGTTTAAATTCAAATCAAATTCTATTTATACGTGTATATATCTCTTAAGGTCGGGCATGTGAAGCATAAGGAAGCACATAGGAGATGGGTAGAGATTTTTGCTAGATCAGAAACTCTAAAAAATGATTGAATGGGATTGAAGGCATAATGTCGAACAAATCTGAGCAAAGCTCGCTTTAGGGTGTACCATATTCGAGTTCGATGCTTAGGTGTTTCTAAGGTGTGTCACAAAATGTTCTTCTGCTCGCTAAATAAGCGCATTTTGGCTTTTGGCTTTAGCGGTTGTCTATAGCATTTAGCTTTAATGCCCAAAGTCTAAAGTCTGAAGAGGTCGTCCCACAGTTGACCACGCCCGGCTCTATTGTGCTTGTTCTTTCAGTTAACAGTTTTCAGCTTTGCTTGTGTTATTTTAATGAATCTAAGTAAAAGGGCGATGAGTCAGGTACGCTGGATGCGGTGATGTGCTGCTGGATGCCAGAGGTGGCAGAGATGGTGGCAACGGCAGGGTGCACTGGAGGATCAGATGAATGAAAAGCTAAAGCGCTTGAAAATGCGCGCAACAAATTCGCACGGAAATGCAGAGTACACACAAAAAAAAAGGAAAAAAAAAACGTCAGGGAGAGAGAGAGAGAGTGGAAAAAATTGTTTTTAGTATTTAAACAACGAAAACAAAGAATAAAAGCGCTTGAGATTTGTTCTGTGGGGGGAATAAAAAGCACTGCAGGAGCCAAAAAGCATGCTATGGTAAAGCGGCAATGGTTTGGTGGCTTTTACAGCACAGGCATGGCCTGGCACACACACACACACGCACGCACACACAAACACACATGTCTGAATGACATGTACAAACGTTTACAGACTGATTGTCGAGCAGGGAGTGCGACGTTTTGGGTCATCGCTTCAAGTTGCGCATTCGAAACGCATTATTAGTTGTAATTGACTTGATTAGGCTTCATTTCGTTTGCCATTTCTGTGTGTGCATGTCGAGTGAATAAACGCTTGTCAGCCAAAGCCAGTGACTGTTACTGTTACTGTGACTATGTTCACGTGAGTGTGAATTGGTTTGTGATGAGGTCATGTTACTGATGTCAATGCAGTTTAAAGTCTCGTTTGTCAAATCATCACCAGTTGAGTTACTTGTCTCTTGCACACAAATTTGCTGCACTTGTGCTTTAAATGAAGAGATATACTTGAACTGATCTACTACAATATTGTAGTTACTCTCTCTCTATACAGACATAAATGAGTAGAGCGAGTAGTTTCAGAATGATTATTATTAAAACTTAATTACACTAATTGTTGTTGTAAAAACCACAAAAGCCTCTGCACTTAATTTAAAAAAAAAATTCAAGAAGTGCCAAAAGACTATATTGAAATTGCTGTCTTGATTCGGAAAGATAGAAATCCTATTTGCTTGCATCTTCTACTCGACTCTTTAAATATAAAAGCGCTTAGCTTTCTGCAATTAGAATAATCAAATTTTGGTTTCTATTTCAATTGTATTTAATTCCAATGGAAAAGCAGCAAAAATTATATGAAAACCGCCTGTTTGACGAGAATTTTATGTTAAACATTTGCTTGAAACTTTCCTGCATATTTCAACAAATCTGAAAACGTCATTAAATGAAATGCCTTTACACTATAAAAAACAATGTTGAAAGGAGTATAGAATGGAAACAATTATTTGAATAGCTTAAAAAATTTCCCGAAAACTTAAACAAATTTTAAGACATCATTAATGAAATGCCTTGACACTAAATGTTTATTAAAATTGCCTTAAACTGAAACTCCTCGTATGAAACGGAATCAAATAAGGAAAAATTATTTCAAAATATTCAAAAATTTGTCTGAAATTTTTGTTTAAATTTAAAACATCATTAAATGAAATTTCAACAAATCTTTAAACATTATTAAATGAAGTGCCTTGACACTAAAAAAAAACCAACATGTTGTTAAAATTGCTTTAAATTAAAAAACATTGTTGAAAGGAATATATAATGGAATGAAAAAAGAAACAATTATATCAAATTATTGGCAGAGCTTAAAAAGTTTCCTGCAAATTTTAACAAATCTTTAAACATCACTAAATGAAATGCCTAGACACTAAAAAAACTTATTATAAAATTGCTTTAAACTAAAAAACAAATATTGAAAGGATGGTATGGAATGGAATGAAAAAGGAAAATTATATTAAAGCCGACTTTTATAAAAACTGATAATTACTTGCAAGGCTTAAAAAATGGCACGAAAAATTCAACAAATCTTAAGACATCATTATAAGAAATGCATAGACATAAAAAAAACCTATTATAAAATTGCTTTAAACTAAAGAACATTGTTGAAATTAGTATGGAATGGAAGAAAAATGACAATTATTTGAAAAACTCAAAAAGATTCCTGCAAATTTGAACAAATCTTTAAACATCATTTACTGAAAAGTCTTGAAGCTAGTAAATACTTATTATTAAAACGTTTCTTTGTGTGTGTGTTTGTGTTTGTGTGAGTGAGTGAGCGTTCGCTCTTTAGCAAGCTCACAGCTACACCCATACTCAGATCCACAAAAGTTCATTATAAGCTCAACACACATACGCATCTTGCGTGTGAGTGTGCGTGTGTGCCGTTGAGTGTGTGAAAATGTTTCCGTCGCTTGCCCCTCGATGCCCGGATGTTACTGCTGTTGCTGTTGCTACTGTTGCTGTTGCTGCTTTCATGCGTGTTGCATACTAATTTCAAAAATTTGCCGTTACATCTGTAGCTGCCAGCCGCTGCCTTTCATCGCCCGACCCAGCTCCGGAAACTGTGCCTGCCTGCCTGCCTGACTGCCTGCCCGCCTGCCCCAGCGCCCACCCATTAGATTAGATTGGAACAAATGTAGTTTGTTCAGTTTGTAGCTTGATTATCAACATTCTAAGCTAAAGAGCTGAAGCACGAGCTATAGCTATAGCTGTAGCTGTAGCAGAGCAGAGCAGAGCAGAGCAGAGCAGAGCAGAACATTAGAATCTTTATGGTCCATGCGTGAAGAGGCTGCAGCAACAAATTGTTGGCATTTGCTGCGTGCGGACTCAAAGGTGAGAAGCAGAAATTCAGACCCCAAAATTCCCCATACACTGCTGGCAGTTTAAAGTGAATTTTCCATGCAGTATGCCGTTGTGGAAATGCAATTTTTGGCAAAGGTTATTTGCCGGGTTGTCGGGTTACCAGACGGCCTCTTATTCCCACCGGTGTTTGATTCATAGCAAAATTTATTTCAAAGGTGAAAGGACGTGCGAAAACACATGCATAATTATGTCTGTGTGTGTGTGAGTGTGTGTGTGTGTGTTTCAGGCAGAGCTGGCAACAAAAGGCATGGCCCGTCTGCCTCTAGGTGGGGGTATTTTAGCTTTTATCGAATTATGACTTACATGCCTCAAGTGCGGGTGCGCCCAACAATTTCAATGCTAGCTAGTTAAGTGTTGTGTAGTTGCGAAAGAGCAGGAATGCTGGCATAGAAAGGATTCTTTCAAAGTGAATGGAGGAGTAGAAAGTACTCTCAACATTTTGATGCGTTTGATACCTTTTGAAAATATGAAAACATATAACTAAAAACGGTATATACAGGGGTGCCACAGAAAACTCTAGACATTTCGGCTTGGATTGTTTTTGAAATCTTTAAAAAAAATCCGTGTGAGAGCTTTAATTTTTTCGAATTTCTAATATCAATATAAAATTTAAAGTTATGTACTGTCAAATACCTAAAATATTATTAAAAGTGAAAAGGTTGGGGAAGGTTTATTAACCAGTGCATCCCCTATTCATAGCATTGATAATCAGTTATCCTTCGGAGGTAGCTGAAAATATAAGATTTTAGTGAAAGGAGAGAGAGCTTGAAAGTAAAAAGTATTGTAATCAGAGTATAATACTCGAAAAGGGTTGTGCATGGCGTATCCACTAAGGCATCTGTTGAGTAGAACAGGCAAAAACTTTCTTGTTGACTTGGAAGGTGCAAACAAAATTTATACGATCTAAGAGCAATCCAACAATCAATTTGTGGAGGAACAGAGCATCAAGAACTAACCTACGTTGGGCTAATGAAGACAAGTTTATAAAGAAGTCTACAGCGGTTATTTCTCACATGAAGCTTTTCTATTAATCTTAAGCTGATTTATATCAAAGCACAATGTTCGTTGCTGCTAATCGTCGTTCTTTTTATTTTGGAAAATTCTTGGATTGGTTCTTGTGGAATACGAACCATTTGTTCGACTCGACTTCATTATAAGTATATGGTTGCCCATTATAAACTAATC